TCAATAGAGAAAAAAGACCTCAGAGATGTGCCATGCTAAGATGTGGCAGAGCTTCAACAGTCACAGCAGCTCCCACAGTGCTCACTGAGCTGCACCAGCCCCTTCCCAGACCACTGCAGCCAGCCAGCCCTTGCTTCGTAGAAGCCACTGCAACCAAACCTGAGCACCAGAAATGCAGACAGGAGAAATGCAAAAGACATGGAGGAGAGTGCCACTAGGGTGTTGGAGAAATTTCCATTCAGGTGACAGAGAAAAATACCTTAAGGACTCTGCAGCTGTTATCAAGAACTTTAACAAGTACAACTCCATTTAACACTGCAATCTGGGGAGGAATTTTAGTAGTTACATTATCACAGGAAGCCAAACACTTTATGTACTTTTACTTCAATCAAGTGGCCACTGTTCTATTTAGATGTGTTTAAAAGCATGAATTATAGCCGGGCATTGTGGCTCACACCTGTAATCCCAGCACTGGGGAGGCTGAGGTGGGAGGATCGTTGTGAGTTCAAGACCAGCTTGGGCTACAAAGTGAGCTCAAGGCCAGCCTGAACTGCATAGCGAGACCCCGTCTCAAAAAAGACAAAAAAAAAAAAAAAAAAAAAAATCATAGATTGTGCACATACCCAGCAATCTATCCAAAAATAAAGATTACAATCTAAATTCCCCACACCAGACAAATCTTCAGCTTTGATGGGGAAACTGCTCAATTTTTAAATATTTGTGTTTTATACAAGGTATTATCTGTACCAGTCTGTTGTAGTTATAAAATAATCAGCAAAACAGATTATTTTTGTATTTATTTTCTATTCCATATTTCTCCGCCTTATTTTTTCCTTTTCTCAAATCTATTCCTTTAAATCTGTTGGCCAGGTGTGGGAGCACACACCTGTAACCCAAGCACTCTGGGAAGCTAGGGCAAGAGGATTTAGAAGTTCAAGCCAGCTAGGGCAATTTAGTGAGATCTTGTCTCAAATTTTTAAAAAAGAGGGGTTGGGGATTTAGTTCAGCAGCAGAAGCACTGGCTAGCGTGAGGTTGTGAGTTCGATCCCGGGAATCAAAAAAAATATTTTTTTTAAAAGGGGGCAAGGGGCTACTGCTCAATGTGAAAGCCTTGCACTCAACTCCCAGTACAACAACAACAAAAATTTTTAATTAAAAAATAAAAAAAGAACTGTTAAAGATGGGGGCGAGGCATTTAAAATGAAACCTCTGTTGGACATGGTGGCACGTGACTATATTCCCAACACTTGGAAAGTTGAAGCAGGAGGATCGCTGTGAGTTCAAGACCAGCCTGGGCTACAAAGTAAGCTTAAGGCCTGCCTGAACTGCATAGTTTCTTAAATATTTTAATGTCTTCTTAAAAGTTTTTAAAAGTTACTTTTCAATTTGTCTTCTGTGATGTTACTTCCCTCTCAGTGTAAAAGTACTTCTGATATCCCATACCACAGCACTTCACACTTTACATGCAAGTGGATAATGTTTCTGAAATATATCTGTGTCACGAGAGCTATTAGCTTCACTGCAAAACAGTGAAAAAGCTCTCCAACTGTTTAAGACTACAAAACAAACTTGAATACTGCTGCATAATTTGCTTTCCTCCAGAAAAGCCTATTAAACTTTGTTGGCACTGAATACAAAATAAAATCCCAAAATTTGCATTTTCAGTACTTTTGCTTTCTTGACCTTTATTTAAATTTGACACTAAGCTTTACCAAACACCAGAATTTACACAGTAACTAGCCAACCACAGTCCTCATTATGGAATCTATGCAGTGCATCTGTTACCTAGGAAACAGACCAGAGCACAGGGAGAGTGCAATTTCAGTCTAGCAAAAGAATTCTCCAATTATGCTGGTAAATAAAGTCTATAAATCAACTAATCAGAACCAAAGTCAAGAAGCATCATATAAGAGTTAAGCACTATCAGAACTTTTTTAAGGGAGAAAAAAAAAAAGAAACCTGTGGGCTTTCTTTGGTAGATTTCTTAAGTAAATATTGTGAGAGCAGGTTTCTTTACAAACACAAACTGTCATAAAATTAACACTGTTCAAAATAAATGGCTTCTCTCCAATCTTCAGCTTCTCTATTTTTGACAGTATTTAAGAGAAAAAGCTTCTTTGGAGCCAGCCTCATACATCTGGCACCAGAATATTAATCCAAGAATGAATTCTGCGTTTTCAGCAAGCAGCATGGGCTTGTGCTGGTCTTAAACAATACCAGATGATATAAAGCTGATTGAGAGGTTACTGTCGGCACCTCTTACAGTCAGACCAGAACTGCTTCCCCATCAGGCTACAAAAACCTGTGTGAAATAGGATTTCAAAGTCAACAAATGTATTATAAAAACTAAAACTGTTACTTTCCAACTTTCCATTTCATTATTATTAATACTAACTAGTCATTTGAGGGTTCCAGTTAACATAAACTGGCCATTTTAAGTTTCCTTTAATGATATTACATTGATAATTAACAAATAGGAAAACATTGGCAAAGTCTGTAAGTTTATAAAACCTATCAAATTTGTGGCCAGCTTAGTGCTGTTTTTTTCTTTTTTTAAAGACTCCTAAAAGCTACATTTTAAAATCTACTTTTATACAAATTCAAATTTTCTGGAAGTAGCATTTATTTCTCACAATGTAAAAAGCAGCAGAAAAAAATTTCAAACATAAAAAATGAAAACTTACATGCTTTCCTCAATACCAAAATAGTAATAAGCTGAAAATATTTAACATCCTCTGAAATGTTTCTCTTTATATTAAAATATTAATTATACAAAAAGCAAAAAATTAGTATCAGTCAAGCAAAATAACTTGGTATTATTTTTGAGCCAGTCCACAAAGACACTACAGTAGTGATCTAAGTGAACTGTTAGGCATAACTACAAATCTGCCAAAACAATTAATGTTTAGTTTACACAGTGACTCTTTGTTAAGCCTTATCACTCCCACTGACAGCCATGTAAATACATAAACAAGTAGTTCAATTGTTAGCTTATCTTCAATACTTCAGCCAGCTGAAGAACTGAAATTCTAAGAGTGTTCTAGAACTCCCTTCCACCATTCATGATACAACTAGTCCTTATTTCAATACCTCTACTCTTTGCACTATTCACAATAGCTATGGAAGGGGAACAACATTAGTCTAGAGCCACACACACAGCTCTGTGCCTCTGTGCAGGGTTTAACTTTATTTACCTAATCTAGACCAGAAGTCCCAGCAGGACCTAATAAAATTTGATCAACTCAACAGTTTGCTGGGTCACTGTGAGATGAATACTATTCTAGATTTTAAGTGTGCATAGAAAGACAATTCAAACATTTACAAAATCTGTCATACAATTACAACAATCTAATGTAATTGGGGCAAGAATCTGGGATAAATTTTTCCTAGAAAAAGATCACTATTTTAAAAAGAGAGATCACTATTTTTAAAATACTGAGCATCTTATGACAAAAATTAATTTGCCAATAAAAATGTTCCAAACCGTTTTCCTCTGGTAAATTTCTAAATCTTACTTGATGGAAATCTGAGTAACATTTTTCCACCGCAATATTTTTCCTTCAAGCTTAGATATTGCTTAGAAAAATAAAACAAGCCTCTACTTTCGTCCAGTAGCTGTACCTATAGTTGTCTTTACTCCTCAAAATCTTTTTTTAATCTCCTTGATAACTGTCACATTTGTTTGTCAACGTAAGTTCTCAGTAGGCTAAGAGAAGAAAGTTTCCAGAACTGAGTTGGAGATTAATACAAAGATACAATCCAAATATCTAATAAAAATTTTGAATTTGGAAAATTTATTTTCTAGATACTTACTGAACTTCATTTATTATATGAATATCTACAAGTAAACTATTAATAAAGCAACTTAGCCAGCTAATTAGAGAAATCAGAAATACCGCCCTATAGAATTATTCAAAACACTGTATCTCACGTATACCACTCAATCCTTCGGTAACAGACACAGAATAAGCACACTGAGGTAAGCATAACCATGGAGCGGGCACAGTTCTAACATTCAGATTCTCTTCGTATGTTGTCAAAGACTTCGTATCTTAAATAATAAAGGTATTAACCTGAACAGAAAGCTACATCGTTTAATACACTCCAGTGCTTAAGCCCCACCACGGAAGCTGTCATTACCTAACTCGCCTGCCTGTTCATTTCATAGGTACAATATTCTGTCACCCTGATCCTGAGTGTGGGGAAAGAAGAAAAAAAACTTTACTCCAAAACTTCAAAAGAAGAAATATGTATAGTATATGTAAGAACCACAGCTATGTTCATTTCCTTCTCTTGGAAGTCCCTATCTAGCCTGAAAAAAGCAATCAAAAACATTTTCCGATGTTCTTCTGATGTTGGTCAGCCCCACTGCCCGCTATCCAGGAGACTCCAGTTTCTTGGTGTATTTGATAACAAATACAAATCACTGTGCGCAGCCTCAGATGGGGTGAGGGGACGCAAGAGGCTCCCGGAGAAAGCCCTCCTCCGTTAGAAACAATAAATAAGGGAGCGCAGCGATGCACGTTCCTTCACACACGCCCCACACGCACCTCGGGGTGCCTCCCGAGCAGGGAAGCAAGTCGGGCAAAGCCCTAAACCACCTTTCCTTCTGCAGAACCACCTCAGACTTGGAAACTAAAAGGGCAGATCTTTTCTTCTTCCTTCCCGCCCTCCTTTCCACCTCCGAGAGACAGGAGAGCCGGAGCAGGCGAGCAAGACCCCTGCAGCGCGTCAGCGGGAGACGCCGGACTCCCAGCGGCGGGGGAACAACGCCGCCGCCGCGAGCTCGCCCGCCGGGTCCCCGCCCCGGACCCCGCAGCCCGTGGCCGCCGACGTCCGGCCGCGCGCTTTCTGTCCTCACTCCGGCCTCGCTCCCCTCAACGGAGACAAAAGGAGGGTTCAGCCGGGTCACCGCGCGGCCGCCCCCACACAAAGGGGCCCCGCGCCGGGTCGCCGCGTCGGCGCGCTGGTCCCCGCCCCTCGCGCGGGCTCTCACCCACCTGCAGGTGTCTGTGCTTCTGTCCATAGGAACGCGGGCAGCGGTGGGGGGCCTACGGGAGCCGGGCTGCCCGGGCTGGACGGGGCGGGACGGAGGGGTGAGGACGAGCGGAGAGCGGCCGCAGGTCCGAGCACCCTAGGCAAGTGTGAGGGGAAGGCGCCCGCGGGCGGCGGACGGGGGGCGGGGCGCCAGCCTGGCTCGGCCACAGGCGCGCGCCGCTCCGTGCGCCCCGGGCTCCGCGCGCCCTGCTTGGAGCGCGGCGGGCGGCGGGCGAGGGGGGCGGGGCCCTGGGGGGCGGGGCCGAGCACGGGGCGGGGGCTCGGACCCCGGGCTCCAGCCGGCACCGGAAGCGCGCCGCGGTCCGCGAGACCCACAGGAAGTGAGTCACGACACCTCCTACTACAGGCACCGAGCTCGCAGACAGAGGTGCGGACCGACCCTCCTGCCTCGCACACGCGCGCACGCCACCGTGGGCGCCTTGGCCCCGGAGGTGTGGGACAACCTGCCCTCGGCGCGCTAGCCTGGTGCCCGCTGCCCCGGCAGGTGTGGGACCTACGAGGTGTGCAGCACCCTCTTCCTACGCCAAGCTGCCGGCCCGCCGTCTACTCCGCCCTCAGCTCCACACGCCTCAGCCTAAACGCAAGGAGCGCACAGAACTGCTCTACAATTGCTCATTTCGCGCTGTGTGTGACACCTGCTCATCACCTCTGTGCCCAGAGATGTACCAGACAGATCGGTTACAGCCCGAAGTCACTGCTGCACTGTGGAAGTGCCTAACACCCAGCTGCAACAGCCAAAGAACACGGAGGGAGTGGGGCGGCTTAATAACACCTTAAAACTCGTTAAAACTAGCGGTCAGCCCACCAGGCACACACAAGCATCTCGCACTACATGGCACGACAGAGCTGAGACTGCTGTGCCCTCATTACTTAACACTGTATAGAACTTACTAGGAGCCCACATCGACACCAGGTGCTTAGTTCCTCTTAAGAACCCTATGAAATGGGTGCTATTACCTTTATTGTTGATGGATAAAGAAATTGAGACCCAGAGAAATTAAAGAATCTGCTCGCCATTAGATAAAGTCTAGAGAAGCCCAGACTCATCACAGGCAGTCTGGCTCCAGACTTCATACATTTAATGCCTTTTCTACCTCACTAAGCAATTCCAGAACAATACGTGGTAATAAGTAACATTTAGAGCATGCCTAGTTAGCCCTATGTGGCAGCCCCAAATAATGTCTATACAGTGGTTTTTTTTTTTTTTTTAACCTGCAGTTAATTGCTACGTAGTCCAAAGATGTGCTCTAAGAAATGAACCCTTGTCACTGCTGATGGGATTGTATAGGTGTGGTCACTATACACAATACAAAGAGGCTTCAAAGATAGAAATACCCATATGATCCATCAATGACACTTTTGGGTATATATCCAAAAATTTGAAGGCAGGGTTTGAAGACATGTTAGCACCCCACTATGCACTGCCACACTACCCACGATATCGAGAGATGAAAGCAGCCCATATGTCACTGACAGATGTATGGATAAAGAAAATATGGTATGTACTTAAAATGGAATATAAGCATTTAAAAATTAGGAAACTGTGTCATATGCTACAATATGGATGAAAGTTGACATTATCCTAGGTGAAACAAGTCAGTTAAGTACAAAAGAACAAACACTAAATGATTCCACTTGTGAAAAATGTAGCACAGTCAAAATCATGGGAACAATACTGGTTGCTAGGGAGCTAGAGGAAAAGATGGGGAGTTGATATTCAATGCATATAGTTTTATTTTTATAATAGGAAGAAGTTCTAGAGATCTGTAGTACACAATTTAAATAGTTAACATTACTGAACTGCACTTTTTAAATTTTTTTTTTTTTTTTTTTTTGGTACCAGGGATCGAACTCATCACCTTCCACTTGCCAGGGCAGGCGCTTACACCGCTAAGCTAAACTCTGTACTTTAAAAGTAATTAAAAGTAAATATATTATGTAGGGGTTTTTAACCATAATCAACTTTTTATTAAAAATCACACAGTTGCCTTTATTTCTATTTTGGGGGGTATGATATGGATTAAACACAAGGCCTCATGCACACCAGGTAAGCACTCTGCCACTGAGCTATATTTTCAGGTCTTTTAAAAATTATTTATTTATTTATTTGGAGATAGTCTTATTGTGTGGTTCAAGCAGGCTGGCCTTGAACTATAGTGATTCTTATGCCTAAGCCTCTCAAGTGCTGGGGTTATAGGTGCTTGCCACCATACCAGGCTGTTACAAATTTTTTAAATGATGCAGGTCTCCAGCTATCATGGGTTAGGGTACCTTGTACAATTTAACTCTCCCACTTTGTTCAATTGTATTATAACTAATGATATAGGCAATTCTAATAGAGATAGCGGGAGGCATTATGGTAACCATTGTTGATCACCTTGTATTATGTTTTTACATTATTTTGTCCACCCTTTTGACTTGACCGATTCTGTTCTGTTATGTCACATTTGGTTTTACTCTCTTCCAAAAAAGCAATAAGAACTGTGGGAGCAATGAAACCCAAAATGTGTAATAGTCATTGTACAAAAGAGAGGAAAAGAAAGTGCTCTAAACTATATAACTGCATGTATATTTAAGTGTATAAGATATAAAATGATATCACAGAGTTTTATTGGATCATTGAACAGAACTGTTTGCAGTATCATTGTAGGAATATCCACTCTACAAGCTTTAATTTTGTGACTTGAACAATTAATTCTAAGATGGCAATATGTAATCCATTAACTAGTGATTTCCTACTGTTCATTTTTTTTCCTCTGTAAATCTATATAACTTGTACCCTTTCACTGTTTTTTTTTTCTTCTTTTCTCCTTAAATAAAATAAAATTTAAAAAAAAAAAGCTATTTAGGGCCAGGGATTTAGCTCAGCAGCATATGTGCCTGCCTTGCAAGTGTGAGGTCATGGTACCAGGTTTGGTCCCTGTTACCAAGAAAAAAAAAAGCTGTTTATAACTATTGTAGGGCAATTTAATCTGCCTTCATAATTTTTCATACCTAACATTCTATCCACAATGATCTAATTTGCAAAAAAACAAAACTGAACAAAAGCCAAGAGGGAGCAAAGAACAATAGAAAAACGCACACATGAAGCAGACATCATAATATTACATAACAGCCTTTAGTTATGATTAGTAATATTCAAGAATATGAATAGAATTGAGAATTTCACTAGAAAACTGATCTTCAAAAAAAGAAACTGAGCCATTAGGGGAATACAAATAAAAATTGTAAACAGAAACCACTCTAAACCACTCTATAACCACTAAGATACTTATAATCAAAAAGGCAGTAAAAAGCATTGGTGAAGATGTAAACAATCAGAACCCACATTTAGTGCCAGTGGGATACTTTGGAAAATAGACTGATTGTAATGGATTAAAAACTAGTGTTCAACCTAACACTAGCTGAATTACATCAGCATAGTTCTGAGCGCAGATGGTCTACCTGAGGAAAATTGCCGGCATAAATAGTCACGGAGAACCAGAGCTAGGCAGTGTGGGTTTCTCTGAGTATTGGTATGTTGAGCCATTGGTTCTCCTGAAGGAGCTCGACATGACTAGCTTCCCCAGTGTGAGTTCAACGAGTCATCGGAGGAGCTTGGACCTTGTTGCTGAGAGTGGCTATAGTTCACTTTGGGGTAGCTCTGATCCCTCATTGACCATCACTTCCTGGCTCCCAAAGGGAAGATGTGTGCTGTTTAATCTTTAGAAGAAACTCATCACACTGGCTTTCTAAGAAGGCATGTATTCGTCTGTTGTTATCATTGGAGGAGCTCAGGACCTCCACGTTGCTGAGGATGGCTGTAGTGCTTTTCAGGGCAGCCTAGGTCCTGGTTTTGAGTGTGACTTCTTAGCTCCAGTGTGGAACCCTCAACCTACTAGCACAGCTCCTTCACCCTACTGGGCATAGACTTTCTAGCTCTCTCTGCTGACCTTTGGGGCCCTCCCAGTATGGATCCATAAAACAGACTGGCGTGAGTCCTTCTTGTAGGTTCTAGACTTCCAGCTGGACTCCTGGGAGGCATTGTCATGGGTTCAGGGTTTTCATCTGGACTCTTGCAGAACACTGCTGTGGCATCCAGGCCCTTGGGTGAATATTCTAGGTCTTCAGTATTGTGGACAGATTTCCTGCAACTTTCTTACTCTGGGTGACCATCATAAAATAATATTATAAGTTCTGTGTCCTGATTCTAATTATCTCCTCACAACCCCTGACTACAACACTGATAGTTCCTGAAAGTTTTAAACAAAATTACCTTATAACCTAGCAAATGTATCTCCACATTTATAACCAAGAGAAATGAACACATTAGCACAAAAAGTTATACATTAGTGTCACAAGAGCATGATTCATAATAGCCAAAAAGTGAAAACAACCCAAAATGTCTACCAACTTATGAATGGGTAAAATGTGATATATACAAATGATGGAATATTAGTTGACAATAAAAAGGAATAACAGGGATTATTGTGATTTTTATTATTGACTTTCTCCTTATAGTTTTTTTTTCTGCTATGTTCCTATGCTGGCGTTGAATTCTTGGATTCAAGTGATCCTCCTGCCTCAGTCTCTTGAGTACCTGGGGACAACATATGTCCCCACATGCCAGACTACTGTTACATCGTTTTGGTGTTAGAGCTTGTATCCAGGGCCTTGAAAATGCTAATCAAGTGCTCGACCAGTGAGTTATATACAAACCCAAAAGTTTCTTATTTGTTCTTGCATCCTCTTTCTAAAAAGCTACTTTCAAGGAGAGTTCAAAAGGAGAAAAATTTGGAGTGTCCATCAGGTGAGTCATTTATAATGAGGTGCAATCAAAACACATAAAACACAAGATTCTTGTTTCTTCCTAGGAAGACACAGAGATGCTGACAGCAAATCAGGAGGTGGCAGGGAAATCAAGCAATGGTGGGAGTGGGGGGAACAGAGGGAGAGAGAGAAGGAGAGAAGGAAAATTTGTAGGACTCTGCATTTATTAAACTCCATGGTTATTATCTCTTGGCTTTCTTGAGGGAGTTATAAGCTGGCTAATTTAAATAAAACATTTGCAAAGGGAGTGGACTTATTCACAGGACTCACACTGGTGCTGACCGTCAAGTTTTATCAGCAACTGTGAGATGCACTGGGTTTTGGGTCACAGGCAGAAGAACAAGTGGACTATATTGTTGCAAACAACCACATAAGGAAAGAAAGTTTGAACTAGGGTACAATGGGGCATCACATAATGTGTCAGGCCCACAAATGGATTGAGGCAGCAACTATAATAAATTAATTACACTGGCACAATGCACAACATGGATGAACCTTGAAAACATTAAATGAAGAAGGCAGACACAAAAGCTCATATGTGATTCCATTTATATGAAATGGTCAGAATAGGCAAATCAATAGCAAGACAATGTTCTTTTATACACTTGTAAATAGGATGCATACTGCAATTAGTTGAAGCACATTATGATGTTGCTATGGATAACGTATCTGGAAAGCTGGCTAACAAAATGAGACTTTGTTTCACTTAGTATCTGTTAGGCAGTTTATTAGATGATTTCTTTAAAATGTGCATGGATTTTAAAGTATATAAAAATTCAAATTATCATTACAATTTTCATTAGTATACAATCCAGAACTAAAAAATTGTAAACAAATTGACCTTATTTTACTGGAGAAGCGGTTTTGTAAAGAACCACTAATTTTACTGCTTGACCGTAATTTGTTGTGTGTAATGCATAATTTTCCTGAAAGGAGGCAGGATGAGATATAAGGCCAAGAGGGCAAAGCCCTCAAACTACAGAAACAAAATGTCTTAGAATTCCACTTAATGAAGCCTATGTTTGGCTAGTTATTTTAATTATAATTTCAAGTCTTATAGATACAGAAAATCTATTTTTTTAGAACCAACATTCATATCCTTATCATACAATAGGGAAGACAAAAAATGTTAAGATTTTTAATTGTTGAGCTTTTTTACTTTTAATACCACAGCAGTCCGCCTTTTTGTTTTTTCTTCACAGTCTGGGATGCATCTGACTCATTAACTTCTCCAATTTGATTGCTAGAGCCATGTTTCCTTTAATCTTCAATTTTCCTGACATAAATGCCATTGTTGGTTTTAGTTTCCCTACAATGAGAAAATGAGAGAACAGAATGTAACTATTACTGGCCTAAAGGATGTCCAACTTCAAGAACTGCACTGTAAAAATAATCTCCCTGAGTTACATAAATCTCAAGGATAGAAATTTCAAGCATTTTATATCAGCCTAAGAATTCCAATTCCTAGACTTAGATGTTAACAAAGCAGTTACAATACAATAAAATAAATGTGGCCTTCAAATGAGTTCTCATGAACTATTTTTCAGTTAATTTCCAATCTATTATAGTTCATTTAGCAAAAAACCACTTCAAGTTTAAATTCAAGAAATTAAATACTGTAAATGTATAAGATATTTTTAAATTCAAAATATACAATACATTCAAAGTATACAATTCATTCAACATATACAATATAGACATAAAAGATGTTAGCATTATGTATATTTAAGTGTGTAAAATAGAAAACCATACTACTAAGTTTTTGTTGGATCACTGAACAGAACTGTTTGCAATCTCACTGTTTGAATGTCCACTTTGTATGCTTTAATTTTGTAACTTGAACAACTATATCTAAGATGATAACATGTAATCTATTAACTAGTGATTTCTTACTGTTTATTTTTTTGAACTTCTGAATTACTTGTACCCTTTTACTGTTTTTTTCTCTTTTAATAAAAAAATTTTTAAAAAGATGTTAGCATTATTTCAACCACAGATATGTTGCAATGTAAAAAATACAAGCATGAAAATAGAACCCTAGTAATGAAATAATTAAAAACATTAGATCCAGGGGAAAAGGGATCTACAGCTCTTATTTAACCCAGGATCTGTTCAGAGTCTGGCATATAGTAGAATTCATGGGAAGGCTGAAGCTCATGGAGGTTTCTTCTTCCCAGGATCACATAGTTGTATATGGTGGTGCTTCTGTTCAGAGCCAGCTGTGCCTGGCTCTCAAAACTCTCTGTCTTATACCAATATACGTGTGTGTGTGTGTGTGTGTGTGTGTGTGTGTGTGTGTAGAGAAAGGGAGAGAGAGACAGGGAGACAGAGACAGAGAGAGCGCAAAGTAAATGAAAAAGAAATTAAAAATTTCAGGGCCAGGGATATAGCTCAGTGGCAGATGCCTGCCTGGCAAATGTGAGGTCATGAGTTCAATTTCCAGTAACAAAAAAAAATGTTTTTTCAAAATCCATGTCTTCAGAGATAAAGGAAGATCAAGAAGAGACTGCAGGAGGAGAAAGGGATAGGAGAAGCACAAAGAAGGACAGTCAGAGGAGGGGGTAAAGAAGAGAAGAGGAAAAGGGGAAAGTGGAGAAGCAGTAAGAGAGAACTACTGGGGGCTGGGGATTTAGCTCAGCGGCATAAGCGCCTGCCTTGCAAGCAGGCAGTTGTGAGTTCGATCCCTGGTATTGATAAGAAGGAAAAAGACAAAAAAAAAAAAAAAAAAGAGAGAGAACTACTGGAGTAGAGTGAGGAAGAAAAAGGAGGAAGTGACAGAAGAAAACAATCAGAAAATAAGAATAAGCTCTTGGAAATTAAAATTTTGGTTCACAAGATCAAAGTTCAATAGTAAGTCAATCTCCCAGAAAGCAAACAAAGTTATACGAAGAGATATGTGGTAGGAGAAATATCAATTAAATCAGATCTCAATTTTTCATCAGAAAGTGAGGGAAAAAACTTGAGAGGTCTATCAAACAAATAACATTTCTAGGACCCATCAAGTACCCAGGAAAACCCTATTAACTACTGATTTCTTACTGTATATTTTTTTCTTGAAATTCTGTATTACTTGTACCCTTTTACTGCTTTGTTTATGTCCTTTCTTTTTTCTCTTTAAATTAAAAAAAAACATGTGCGCACACACACACACACACACACACACACACACACAACCATACCACCTGTAGCATTGTAAAATTTCAAAACACCACAGACAAAGAGGATTCTGATTCCAAAGGATTTTGAAAAGACCAGGCTTAGATACAAAAGAAGCATGGGATCAAATTCTCAATTGTAATGTTTTCTCCTTCTCAGTTGTAACCTAAAGATGAAGCAATGGCTTCAAAACTGATGGAAAGTGAACTTCAACTGAGTAATCTCTAGTGAGTCAAATAATCACAAGTGTTGATACAGGCTGAGCCTGGTAGTGCAGGCCTGTAATCCCAACACTCTAGGAGGCTGAAGCAAGAGGATGCCAAGTTTGAGCTCAGCTTGCACAATTTAGCAAGACCCAATCTGTTGCAAAATGAAAAATAAAAAGGGCTGGAGATACAGCCTTGTGCAAGGACCTTGTGTCCAATACCCAATACCAAAAAAACAAAATAAAACAAAAGTTCATAGAATAAAATATAGCTTCAAAGACAAATTGTCCCCAATATATCCTTTCTCGTGCAACTACTGGAGAATGGATACCAACAAAATGAAATGTAAACCACACAAGAAGACAAAAGAGCCAGGAAAAAGATTCAACATGAATAGAGTCCAGGTATTCCCAGGATCACAGCTGCATACTCCACTGGAGGAACAACCAGTTTAGGTTATAACTCAAAGGCAAAGGGTTCTAGGAAAAAAGTGAACAACACTGATACATTTGACAAAAGGCAAAACTGCATCAAGAACCTGTGAGATTACAGGAAGACTCTGCTAAGCATTATGGGCCAAGTGTTTGTGGGTCCCCCCCAACTCATCTCCACGCCCTAACCCCACAGTGTGATATCAGAGTTGCAGCCTTTGGGGAGTACTTAGGTTCTGATGAACACATGAGGATAGGCTCTCCAAGATGGGATTAGTGTCCTTACAGAAAGAGACAGTAACAGTTTGATGCCACTTTAATACAGTCACAATGCTGTGTACAACCACTACCTTTAAACACTGCCTATAAAAAAATCCATACAGTATGTGATCTTTTGTGTCTGGCTTCTTTCAAAAGAATGCCAGGCCACATGGTAATTCTGTATTTAGCTTTACCCATACATTTACAGGTATGACTGAACTTGTACCAAAGGTCAACAGATCTTCAACAAGGGTGCCAGGTGCCAGGACCACTCAATGAGGGAAAGAACAATGTATTCAACAAAAAGCACTGCCACTACTGGGTCTTTTGCACAGAAAGAAATTGGACCTCCTACTCATACTATATACAGAAATGAGCTCAAAATAGGTCACAAATCTAAATGTAAAAGCTAAAACTAGTCTTTTACAGGAAAATATGGGGCAAACTTTATAATCTTGAGTTTGGCAAAGATTCTCAGATATAACACTAAAAGCAACAACAGAAAAAATAGTAAATTAGACTCCAACAAAATAAAAAATGTATTTGCTTCAAAATGTTCAAAATGGGCCTGGGGTGCTTGCTAGGTAAGCACAAAGTCCTCAGTTTAATTCCCAGTACCAAGGAAAAAAAAAAAAATCATCAGTGAACTGAAAAGAGAACCCATAAAAATTAAAGTATTTGCAAGTCATTTTATCTGGAAATACAAAAGAATTCTTAAAACTCATTAACAGACAACCTTGTTAAAAATGAGAAAAAGATTGGATCTCCAAGGAAATTATATATGTGACCAATAAGCACATAAAAAAATCCAGAATCATTAACTGTTAGGGAAACGCAAATCAGAGCTACAGGATATCATTTCATATCCATCACAATGGCAGTTAACTTTAAAAAATCACAAAATGGAAAGTTGATAATTGCTGGTGATGGCAAGAATATGGAAAAACATCGACACCCTAGTAAACAGTTTGGCAATTCTCCTAACTTAAAAAGAGAATTATGGAGCTGGGCATGGTGGCAATGTATGCATGTAGGAGGCTGAGACAGGGGGACCACTGTGAGTTCAAAGCCAGTCTGAGGGCCAGGGACTTAGCTCAGCAGCTCAAGCGCTTGCCTCATAAGTGCAAGGTCATGAGTTTGATCCCTGGTACTGGGAGAAAAAAAAAAAACAGCCAGTCTGAGCAACATAGTGAGTTCAAGGCCAGTTTGAACTACATAACAAGACCCTCTCTCAAAAACAAAAATAAAAATAAAAATGCTTAAATTGAAGTAGGATAAAAGAAATAAAAACTAGATAAGCAGGAAACAAAGATAATTAAGATTAAAAAAAAAAAAAGAGGGAGAGAGAATTACCATATCACCTAGCAATTCTACTGCTAGGTAGAAATCTAAATAAAAACAAATGTCCATACAGAAACTTACATATAAATGTCTGCAGGAGCATTATTCATAACAGGAAATCAGAAGAAACAAACTAAACAGTTCATCCACAGACAAATGGATAAAAGTATGGTATATGCAAGCATGGAATTTTATTCAGCCATAAAAAGCAGGGAAATGCAAACCAAAACTACACTGAGATTTCATCTCACCCCAGTCAGAATGGCTGTTAAGAACAGAAAAAACAGGGCCAGGGATTTAGCTTAGTGGCTCAAGTGCTTGCCTGATAAGTTTGCGGTAGTGAGTTTGATCCCTGGTACCCCCCCAAAAAAATACATATATATATATACAAAAAAAACAGTAAATGCTGGTGAGGTTGTGAGGAAAAAGGAACCAGTCTACACTGCTGATAGGAATGTAAATTAGTACAGCCACTATGGAAATCAGTATGGTGGTTCCTCAAAAAACTAAAATCCAGCTACACCTCCCCTTGGTATATACCCGAGCAATTAAAGTCAGCATATTTAAGGATACCTGCATATCCATGGTTACTGCAGCACAATTCACAATAGTCACAATATGGAACCAGTTAAAAGGTCCATCAATAAATAAATGGATATAGAAAATTACACACACACACACACACACACACACACACACACACACACACACACAATGGAGTATTGTTCAGCAACAAGGAAGAATGAAAGTCTGTCATTTGCAAGAAAGTAGATGGATCTCAAGACCATGATGTTTACCAAAATAAGCCAGATTCAGAAAGACAAATATTCTCCCTAATCCATGGATTCTAAAAAAGATGACAAGAAAGTCCAAGAAAGTCTATTGTTAGACAAGAGGAAAACAGCAAGAGGGAGAGCAGGTTAAGGATGGGTAACAGGAAGAACAGGAATGAGCAAATCTATTAGACACACCAAAACCTCTCCCAAATCAGGGAACCAGGGGGAGGATGGGGCAAGAAGTGATGGAGGGCAGGTGAAAATTGTGAATGTAAATTATACCCTGATAAAACTATTAGAAACAAAGCTACTGATATATAACAAGATACTTAATTAGTAATTTAAAATCTTCCCACAAAATAATCCCACCTCACCAGGTATGGTGACCCATGTCTGAAGCCCTTGTACTCTAAAAGGCTGAGCAGAAAAATCACAAATGCAAGCCCAAACAGGGCAATTTAGTGAAACTATTTTTCAGAAAATAAACAAAAAAGGGAAGATACCTCAATATGAAGGCCTTGGGTTCAACCTCAGTTCCACCGAAAGCAAAAAAACAAAAACAAAAACAAAAAACCCACCCTCCAGCTCCAAATGGCTTCATTGCCTAATTCATAAGATCCTAAATCAATATCAAAAATTAACTGTATGCATGTACAGCAGGAACAAGTAATTCAAAAATGAAGACAATAATTTCATTTATAATAGCACAAAAAAGAATGAATTACTTAGGGAAAGGTATCAACTATAACATGAAAAAATGACAAATCAGGGTTTACAAAAACAAAAAGCTTTTAAACAGGAAGCAGTGTTCTCCTGTGCACCAGCAGCAGTCAAGGCAGCAGGGAGAGAACCTGGTAGCAGTGCACGGGCAGGGAGAGAAGGTCCCCCTACCCCCACCCCAAACCACTAGCCGATTTGGAGGAACACAGGCTGAGATGATAGCAACTGAAGTAAAGAAAGTAATGCTTGTACTGTTTGATTGACTTTACAGACCTAAAGTCATAAGTCTGAGCATCTATTTAGAGGATAACAATATACAGTGTAATAACTTATGGATTTCCTACTGTCTTGTTTTTGAAGTCCAATATCGTTCTCATTGTTTTGTTTCATTCCCTTTAAAAATAAAAAATAATTTAAAAAACCATTCATGTAGAAAAATGTTTATAATACAAAACATACCACTAAGAAATGAAAAAAGCAAGCCAAGGACTGGGAGGAAAATTCTAAGTCACATATCTAATAAAGAACATGCATTCATTCAGAATTTATAAAGAATCTTACCACACAGTAATAGTAAGATCATCTTAATCTCTTTTATAACACCATAATAAAAACAACTCAATTTAAAATCAGCAAAAGCTTTGAACAAACATTTCACCAAATGTAAACAGATACCAACATGAAACACCACTCTGTACCCAGTAGAATGGTGTAATAAAAGACAATCGTAGTAATGGGGAGGCTGCAGAGAAACCAGGAACCCTCCCATATTGCTACTGGAACTGTTAAAGTGGTCCAGCCACATTAGCAAAGTTTGATAGTTTCTTTTTAAAAAATCAGCTTTTGGGGCTGAGGATTTAGCTCAGTGGCATAAGCACCTGCCTGGCAAGCATGAGGTCATGAGTTCGATGTCTGGTACCACAAAAAAAAAAAAAAAAAAAAAATCAGCTTTTGGCTGATTAGGGATAGGGTGACATAGGATGGAAAGAGGGATCTACTGCCAAAAGCGTTTTTTGGTGTAATGAAAACATTCTCAAACTGACTGTAGAAATGGTCAGCCAACTCTAAAAATCTATTAAACATCACAATTATAATGATGTATTTCATGGTATATAAATTATGATTCAATAATACTGCTTTTAAAAAACTCCAAACATAGCTCTGTAGATGTATACAGATATACATTCCTCAGATAAAGTATCTTGTACAACTTACTTTCTTTTAGGGGGGATATAAGGAAGGATGGGGTGTTTTGTTTTTTTTTTAGAAATGGACTGGCTTTCACTATGTAGTCCATGGTGGTCTTGAACTACTGGACTCAAGTGGTCCTCTTCCTGCTGAGTGGCTGGGAATACAAGCACATGTCACTACACCCAGCTACAACTGATTTCTGTCTCACTGCTTAACCACACAGTGGCCTCTACTGGCCAAAATGAGATTATTAACATTTGATTACTAGTTGTTTTATGTAAGTATTTATAATGTAACACTATAGAAATAAAAATAAAATGGCTCCATTTTATGAAAAGAGAATTCTTAGGTTATAAGGTTTAATAATTACCCACGTAAAAGAAAGCAGAAAAGATAAATAGCAAGAATGAAAGGATGTAAAAAACAAACTTGTTCCCAACCTAAATTGTTGGTGCAACGTAACACCTTATAATAATATGTTTGTTTTTTATTGTTGTTTTGTTTTTGTTTTTGGTACCAGGGATCAAACTCATAACCTTGTGCTTGCCAGGCAAGCACTTGTGCCACTGAGCTATACCCCTAGCCCTTGATAACATGTGTTTTAAAAAAATTCATAGCTGGCTAACCTCTCCTATCACATTCACAGAAAGATGTAGGGGCTGGGGATTTAGCTCAGCAGCATAAGCGCCTGCCTTGCAAGCAGGCAGTTGTGAGTTCAATCCCTGGTACCAATAAAAAGGAAAAAGACAGAAAAAAAAAAAAAAAAAAAGATGTAAGGGGAAAGCTCATTATTTCAAGGTTATACTATGTAAGTAAGAAGCCATTGAAGCCAATATGGTTATGTACCCCTTCCTGTATTCACAGTCTCAGAAAGCTCAGGCAGGAGGATTGTGAGTTCAAGGCCAGCCTAGGCAGAGTACATAGTAGTTTGAGATCAGGCAGGAGGACATAATAAGAATCTGTCTCTAATAAAACAAAAAAAGCTGGGCACGGTGACACATGCCTTCAACCCCAGCAGTTTGGGAGACTAAGCCCAGGAGGATTAGGAATTCGAGCCCAGTCCGAGCAAATTTAGTGACTTAGAAAACTCGATCTCACAAACATTTAAAGGAGGTGGGGAGGGAATGTAGGCTGGTATGAAGGCCCTGGCACCATCCAAAAAAAAAGTCATGATTCACCTTTAGACATCAAAAAAGCATGACAAAATCATTAGTTTTGAAGTTGGCTTGGATTCAAATCTTTGCTCCCAAATTTACTATTCACTATCAGATTTTGGGTTTATTGTTTAATTAATCAAAGTCAGTCTCTACTTCTATGGAAAAAATATCGCAAAGAAATTCTACATGTACTGTTTAACCCACAGCCATCATACATAAATATTAGAAACAACTGCTATCATATCAGTTAGAAGTTGACAATAATTTTAACATGCCTTTTTTTTTTTTTTTTTTGTCTTTTTGAGACAAGGTGTTGCTATGCAGTTCAGGCTGGGCTTGAGCTTACTTTGTACCCCAGGCTGGTCTTGAACTTGCAAGGATCCTCCTGCCTCAGCCTGCTATGGTGCTGGGATTACAGGCACGTGCCACCACACCTGGCTTAACATGACCTTTAAATTTAAAAAGTATAGGATTCATATTCACTAAGCATTTGTTGAACATTTTTGTGTCTGAAGTAGTCTAACTCTATGAATAGTTTTTGAAACACTAAACAAACTACTAAAAATGATTTAAAAGGTTACTATTAATATTGAAAAATGTTGTAATATATGATGTGAAAAAAACTGTCAAACACTAGGAATAGTATGGTCTTATTTTTATAAGCACACATGCATATTTATATACATGCATACACACAAATACATGAATATGTTAAAATTAATTGATGATCATCGATTAGTCATCTTTCAGTGTTACAAAAAATTTTTTTTCTTTTTTCTTAAGTACGATTCCCAATTCCTGTACAATAACTATTTAACATTACTGCAAAAAGTGGAAAATTAAACTTTGATCATTATGGGTATCACATAAAATTGATTGTGAAAGAATGTAGGTTACTAGCATCCTTCATTAGAATTGGAAAGCAAGGCTCGGCACAGAATACACTGTGGTCTTATCTGGCAAGATTAAAACAACATATGAATAATATTTATGACTCACTACATAAGAGATTCTTTAGATCATAATATAATATGTAAGTTTCGAGTACTGCTGCTGATTTTTCAGAATTTATCTTAATTAACTTACCAAATGTAGTAGTGCCCTAAAAGTAGAAAATAAGGCAAATTGTCCTTAAAATTTTTCTGGCATTGTTAGGGGAAAATGGAAAGAGGAGAATGTTAAGCAAAAGGTTCTCTGGGTCAGGGTTCCACAGAAGGCAGAGATGCTGGGCCACGGCACAGAGCTGAGAGCTCCAGCATTTCCTATGACAACAGCCAGCAAGGCTGAAGTACGACTTTATTCTCAATAAGGTAGCTACTTCTGACTCCTGTGCCTCTGGTGTTACTGGAAAAAAGGTTTCTCTAGCCTCTAGGATGAAGGAATCTTTTTTTTTTTTGTACCAGGAATCAAACTCAGGACCTCGCGCTTGCCAGGCAGGAGCCATGCTACTGAGCTACATCCCCAGTCCCCCCTTTTTTTTAAGCAGAGTCTTATTATATAGCCCACGCTGGTCTTGAACTCACAGCAATTCTCCTGCTTCAGCCTCCCAGGTGCTGGGATCATGGGCATGTGTCACCATGCCCGCTTAGGAGTCCTTTGAATTATCTGTTTCCAAAATTTTATTATTAGCATCTCAGTTATGAAAAAAATTTTTGACATCTACTTTCCACTGGTTGGATGAGGAAGAAGTGGCAGAAGAGGCACAATAAGAACACTTATCCCAAGACTATAGGCTCTTCAACATAAAGAGCTGCTAAGATGCATTAGGGAAAGGAGGAAGCAAAATATCAGAACTAAATTTTCCCTGAACAACAAGCGAACTAATAAAACTGCAAACTTACCTGAAAACATTTTGACAAAATCATCAGTAGACATACTCATCACCACATCTGCCTGGTCAGAGGGCTTCCCATGTCCAACATTCCCACCCTTGCTTTTCAAGTCAAGAAACCATGTGCCACCATCTTTACCTGCGGGAGACAGAGAAGCACGTGTAACAATTACTACAGCTAAGATTATCTTCGAAAACGCTGTCTCCCAGGTTAAAACCCTCAGGCTTCCATCCATCAAAGTCCGCAAGTATTTACTAAGCACATATTCCCGGGACTGTGCTAGATTCTGATCCCTCCATAATAAGAGAAATGTAGTTTTTCTCACAAAACAGGAGATGGAAGGTAAAGCAAGAGCATACTAATAAAAGGTCAGGTGCCTAGAATAGTGAAATTCATAAAGACAGAAAGAAAAACAGTAGTTACTAAGGTCTGGGGGCAGGAGGGGTGGGGATACAACTTCAGTTTGGGGTGATGAAAAATTCTAGAGATGGATAGTGGTGATGACCACACAATAATGTAAATGCACTTAATGCTACTGAGCTGTATTATTAGAAATAGTTAGAATAGCAATTTTATGCACGTTTTATCATAATAAATTAAGTTACCTGGGATGTAGCTCAGTGGTAGCTCAGCCACCACTTGCTAGAGCACTTGCCTAGCATGTGCAAAGCCTGCGATTCGATCCTCATACCATAAAAAAATGAAGCTGGAAAAAAAAGTCAAGCAGAACATGATGGTACACACCTGTAATCCCAGCACTCTGGGAGGCCGTGGCAGGAGGAGTGCCCAGGTAAACCTCAGCCCAGGCAATTTAGCAACTTAAATGAGAGCCTGTCTCAAAAAATAAATAAATAAATAAATAAAAAGCCCAGGGATGTAGCTAAGTGGAAAGGCCCTGGGTTCAATGCCCATTCCATAGTGACAGATGGGTAGAAAGATCGATATATAAAGCGAGAAACACAGACAGACAGACAAGCTGAAAGTGCAGCTCAGTAGCAGCTGCCCAATCACTTGCTAAAGCACACATTTATGTGCAGTAGAGCACCTACCTAACACTTGCAAGGCCTAAATTTGATCCCTGAATTATGAAAACTTAACTAAATAAGTTAAAAAAAAACTGGGCCTAGAAAAGCCCAGTCAAAGCTGTGCTTTCAAAGTTAAGTAAGAATTAGCTAGATGAACTAGGAAGAGGGCAAATATTCCAGGCAATGGGAACTCAGGATATTCAAAATAAAAAGCAAAATCAAGAGTGCATGCAGCATGTGTGAGGAACTGAGAAAAGTACTGTAAGACTGAGGTCAAAAGGGAGCAGGCAGTGACATCAGAGGAGCTCAGGAGGCATCTAGGCGCAGAGCACAGTGAGCCCGGGAATGGACTTACTGACTGCATCCTGTAGGAGGCACCATGGACCGAGAGTGATGGAATACAGTTTGCATTTTAAATAAATTATCTTACCTGGAACGTAGATAATATACTGGGGAGTGCAGTATATGCCAATTTCATGGAGTTAAGAAATGCCTAGCAGATTAGTAAGCATACTCCTGGGTGGGTCTGGGTTGGCCCTAAGTTAGGAACTTGGGACTCTCCATGGCCCCTTACTCATTCCTTTGTGGCATGGCTCTCTTGTTCTGCTTCCCAACCACCGTGGACTAAACATCTTGGCTATGCTATCCTTGACCACCATGAGGTTTCTGCCTTGGAGCCTGCTGACCATGACTGAATCTCCTGAAACTATGACCTAAATTAAACCTTTAAGCTGTTGGTGTCAGCAACAGGGAAGCTGACTAACAGGGAGAGGGATCAAGAGGATGTGCAAGGCTAGAAAGGGTGGTGATGGGGTAAACTAGGAGCTTGAGAATGTATGTGTGTGGATCAGGGAGAAGAAAAATGGGCACATTTGAGAGAGAATTTCAAAACAGAATCACAAGCCCGGGTGACTGATTTGAATATGCAGAAGAAAGGTAGGAAGGGTGCATAGCAATGATCTGCTATTTTTCAGCTTAGAAAACTGGGTAAGTATGGGCAGTTTCTTTACTGAGAGAGGACTTCTGAAGAACAGCAGATTTAACAGGTAGGGAATGGTGAGTTGTTCTAGAGATTTTTCAGCTGGAAGCTTTAGGACAGCCAAGTAAAAATGTCAAATGAAGTCTAAACTACATATATGGTTACATAATTAATCAGTTCAGATGGTCACTGAAGCTACACAAATGGTTGTGGACTCCTAAAGAAAGTCTGAGCAGTGTAGAGTGCTAAGACATCAACCTGAAGACACCATGGAGGAGAAGGATCATGCAAAGGAGACCAAGAAAGCACAGCCAAGGGCCAAGAAGGACACGGGGAGGCTACCAACAAAGAAGCCAAAACAAGGGGGCATTTCCAGAAGGAAGGAGTGGTCAACAGGCTCAGACACTGCAGAGTGGTCACCGCAGAAATGACAAATACCCATTAGTGTCATATAAGACACTGGAGAAAGCACAATTTATTTATTTAATTTAATTAATTTTTTTTTTTTTTGAGTACTATGGATTGAACTCAGGGTCTTTTACCAAGCCACATCCCCAGTCCTGGGTTTTTTTTTTTTTTCAATTATTATAAAATTTTCAAACAGTCTTGTCACTAAGTTGCCCAGGTTGAGCTCAAACTTGTGAATTTTCTGCCTGACTGAGCAACAGGAAAGCTGACTGATCAGTGCCCAGGAGTGATAAATTATCCTTTTACACTACTTATCAGGATACATATCATGATGCACCGTGCCTTTCTATATATTCTCTCTCCATTACACACAAGTATGCTGAAGAGTGCAGAATTTTTGTTTGTTTGTTTGTCTTTGTAGTATGGAGAACTGAACCCAAGGTCTTCATACTGAGCTGCATCCCCAACCTTTCTCTTTTAAAAAACTTTTAAATTTTTCAGTCAGGATCTCATTAAGTTGCCCTGGCCAAACTCAAACTTGTGATCCTTCTGCGTTAGCCTTCCAGAGTGTTAGGATGACAGGTATGCACCACCATACCTGGCTCTAAGAAGTCATTTAACACCGGGAATACTATACGCCTGTTTATAGGCACCAGCCTGAACTTCACATCAGTACTTATTTGCCATTCTCAAATGTCTCCTTCCTGGACTCCTGGATATAGCCAGTTATCCAAGTGATTACTACCAGAGACTGATTTTCTTCAAAAAGCCACATCCCACTTTGTTTCTTTTTCTTTTTTCTTTTTTTGTCTTTCTCATTTTTATCGGTACCAGGGATCAAACTCATGACTGCCTGCTTGCAAGGCAGGCACTTATGCCACTGAGCTAAATCCCCACCCCCCCACACTTTGTTTCTTAAAAGCCCATATTATCAGACACAATCCGTACCTGACAGTTCAAACTGATAGATGGCTTGCGTGGCTTGAACAACATCATCATTGAGAGCATTCTTAACAATTCTAAATGTTTCTTCCACAGCTCCAGAATGTGGCTTTGCTTGTGGCTGTGATTTCTCTTCTTTTGATTCTGGAATAGCACCTGTGAAATATTACTCACGTAAGTAGCTTAAGACCATAGCAGTGTAAAGACACAGAATTAATTAATTAGCAAACAAATAGGCCATTAAATAGACTGTAAACATGAAAGACTAAATACTTTAAATGCATTAAGTGGCACCTAAAAGTACAGATCAAACTGATAGAACAATGGCCAAACATACCAGTTATGACTATAAAGGTAAATGGCTTGTAAAAAGCTAACTTTCAGATTAGGTTACAAAAAAGAATCAAAATAAAACCACTGCTAAACAATACAATGCTTGCAATAACCAGACCTAAACAAAACTACTGGCATCATCCTTTTAAATCCTTTCTAAATTCTGAAAACAAGTCAGAAAGCGAGGAGGCTGAGGCAGGGAGATCACTGAAGTTCAAAGCCAGCCTGGGGTACATACTGAGTTGAAGGCCAGCATGACCTGTATAGCAAGATCTTATCTTTAAAAACTAAAAGCAGACAAACAAACAAAAACCAAAAACATAGGGGCTAGGAATTTAGCTCAGCAGCATAAGCGCCTGCCTTACAAGTGCATGGTTGTGAGTTCAATCCCCGGTACTGGGAGAAAAAAAAAAAAAAACATAAACAAGTGAGAAAATAAGACCTTGAAATCAGAAAAGATGGAGCTCCAAATATCAACTTGGAATCAGTAGAGGTAAAGTGGAGATGGAGACTGAATCAACAGCCAAGTGAATTTTGCAATCACTTTGCCTCCAAATTAAATTCATTTGCCTAATGCCTTAACCGATATATTGACCTGTACCCTCTCATCAGAGGTGAGAAATGTTTTCCAAGTGTAGCTCATGCGAACACCAAAGACAGCTGCTCAGAAAGAGATGTGTAGAAGAGTCTGAACCTCACAAGCTCAGTTTCCTCTCCCCTTCTTACTTCAATAGTGCTTCCCAGTGGATAAAGAGAGACGCCAAACTGTCGTGTCCACAAGCTTCTCCATCTGAAAACCCCAGGCCAGAGGAATGCAAGGTACCTAATAACATTTTTAACTTGAATCAATTTAACTCACTGGTTATAACAAGTCTGCATATGGTTAGCCAAGGGACAGGATAGCAATTCATAGGACTCTTCTCCCCTATCATGCTACTGTTTCCTTATGTAGTCTCTGTTCCTTTATTTCTTCGCCTAGAATTGCATAGGGAATTCTTTGGAGTTGTTCCCAGAAATGGATAAGAACAAATTCACTAATCAAATTAATGCAAGGCCAATCTTTCCCTCTAGATTAAAAGTTATCACTCCATCTATTTCCCAACTCAAATTAGACCCTGCCATCCTGTCCAATACAACTAATCCAATGTTAATTTATGAATCTAACTGATGACATAAGATACCCCGTAAGCATAATGAATAGAAACTTGCCAAGTATGATGGCACAGTCCTGTAATTCCAGCTACTTAAGAGGCTGAGACAGGAGGATCAGAAGTTTGAGGCTGGCCTGGGCAACTTAGACCCTCTCTCAAAATAAAGAGCTGCAGATGTAGATTAGTGATAGAGTGCCTGTCTAGCATGCACATAGACCAGGATTCAATCTCTAGCACTTCAAAAATAAACAAATGAATATAAACTGCTTTCCATTATGATGTTTATGGAGACAAAAACAATCCCTGTCTTCTTGACTCCAACTAGATATTACTGATGAAATCTTTAAGACATAATGAAACAAAGAAGATATACCATTTTGAAGCTTTTGGCTGACTTTACTTTTTAACTTAGGAAAATGTACTTTTATTAGCTACAGCCAGGTCAAACCACTTCTGCATCACCCAAGGCATGCACTGATTTTTACTGATATACAACATACTCATGGAGACAGAGATCATAAGTGTACAACTCAGTAATTTATCAGAAGGCAAGAACACTGTATCACCACCACCTATGTCAAGAAGGAAAGCCGTATAGGTCCTTAAAAGTCCACTCCATGCACTGACCTATTTTCTGACACTATATATTCATTCTGTCTCATTTTTACTTTCAAATAAATTAAAGCAAAGGCATAGTTTTTACTCATTTTATGCCTGACAAGCCTTTGCAAACTCTTCCCAAAAAATTCAAGAAAAGGGAACAACACCTCCTAATTCATTATGAGGCCAGGATCACCAAGAGACCAAACTGACAAAGACAACACAAGAAAACTGTCTAGTGTAGACAGACCATTCAGAAATGATATGTAAAATTAAATCAAGAAATGGTAGGTACTATTACAAAAGAGAGCAGGAACTGGGATAGGAGACTATTGCAGATAAGGTGGTCATCTGGAACAGACAATGATTAAACTATATAAGGCTCAGTACGTAGATACATGCATGTAAAGACACATTTATCCTATGATTTGAAAACATTTTGTTAATAGCTTCCCATACATTTGAAAAGGTTTCCCCTGTACCTCAATGAAACAGCTAAAACTGTATACTTTTGTAGGTAAAACTCTTTCCATGTATCCTTGAAAATAAACAACTTTGCAAATGTACTGAAGGGTCTGTGACTGAGGGACACTGATGCAATCTACTTTTTGTTTTTTATTTTTTGAGGTAAGGTCTCACTATGTATCCCAGGCTGGCCTCAAACTATCAATACCCCTGCACTGGGATCCAAAATATTGAGATTATAGGTGTTACAGGTGTATATCACCATGCACAACTGATCTTGTTATTTAGAAACCAAAGACATTTGCCAAGAGATAAACTGTATAATTTTAAAAATTGAGATATTTATCTTTGTATGTTTGTATGTATAAATGTTGAGGATGGAACCCAGAGCCTTGTGCATGCTAGGCAAGCATTCTACTATTAAACTACATCTTAAACTGTGTATTTCAATAGTAAAAGGGCAGTGAACAAGGTAATCAGTATTGTTAGAAGCATATAAATCTAGATGGAAATTTACTACTATGGATTAGAAGCCTTAAAATGTCTTTCCCTTTGGCCAGGCATGGTGGTACATACCTGTAATCCCAGCATTTGGGAGGCAGAGGCATGAGTATCCCCAGGGGTTTGAGGTCAGCCTGGGTTACATAGTGAGTTCAAGGCCAGTCTGACCTACATAGCAAGACCTTCTCTTGAAAAACAAAAAAGTCTTTCTCATTGCGTAATTATCTACTTATTATGCTTCACAGTAAGAAAATCATGTAAGAGCAAAAACTAATGCATTTATAAAACAAAACAATTAAAAATCACTAAATAAATATATTCAGGAGATTAAGTTATCTTTTCACCAGGTCGTTTTTGAAGACACGGAAAATACTCAAAATATTATTAAAAGCAAAAAGGCAGTCTATGCAATTAAATGCAATATGTATGCTAGCAAAATACTTACTTGTAGTTGTGAATTTTAAGTTATATTTGCAGGGCTGGGGGTTTAGCTCAGCGGCGTAAGTGCCTACTTGACAAATGCGAGGTTGTGAGTTCAATCCCCGGCACCAAAAAAAAAACCACAAAAAAAGTTATATTTGCAAAGAAAAAAGTGATTAGACAGAAATACATCCAAATATAAAACAGTGTTTTTAGATTTTTTTAGATAGTGACTACTCTTTTTCTGTTAAAAATTATTGAAGCCAGGCATGGTAGCACATGCCTGTAACACCAACTAATTCAGTGGCTGAGGCAAAAAGATCACAATTCAACTTTAGTATGAGTAATTACCAAGACTTTATTTCAGAAAAAAAAAAAATGAAAAGGGCCAGGGGTGTAGCTAAGTGCAAGGCGCTGGACTCAAAGCCTACTACTGCAAAAAAACAAACCAAAACAAGAAAAATTTTTTAAAACACTCACAAAGGTAACAAATACAAAATATATAGAAATTGGTTTCCCCCTTTTTATTTATAACTTGTCTTGTTCCAGAAAGCATTTGTAAATTTTGTTTAATTAAACACAATTTGAGAATTAATTAAAAGGCCGGGCATGGTAACACTTGGGAGGCTGAGGCAGAAGGACTGCTAGGAGTTTGAGATCAGCCTGGACTACATAGTGAGACCAATGTCAGCCTGGCATTTTGAGACATAGTAAGAACCATCTCAAAAAATAAAATAAAATAAAAAAGAATGAATTAAAATAAAAAGGACTGAGATGTAGCTCAATGGCACAGTGCTTGCCTAGCATGTGCAAAAGCCTACATTCAATGCCCAATACACTAAAAAAGAAAGAAAGAGACAGGTTTTTTAAATGGCAACTGGAATGCTCAGCAATTCACCCAAGGTCAACGCTGCAGAAATTTAAATCCATGGGACCTGGGGATTTAGCTCAGCAGCTTAAGCACTTGCCTTGCAAGTGTGTGGTCGTGAGTTCAATCCCTGGTACCAATAAAAAAGAAAAAGACAAAAAAAAAAAAAAAAAGAAAGAAAGAAATTTAAATCCAGGCAGTCTGACTGCAAAGTCTGTGATTTTATCCACTCAGTAATGGCTCCTCCACATTCTTTCTGTATCTTGTTGTTTAATTCTTATATAGTCAACATAAAGGTAGGACACAGAACCAAGATCTGAACTCACATAATGTCCCAAGGAAGGGTAGCAAAGACACAGCCTTCCTCTGTGTTTTTGTGAGGAAGGAATGTGTTCAAATTTAGTGGTTACACTTAAGATAAAACTACATTTGTCATATAAGTAAATGCTGCCATCCCTCCTTTAATGGTAGGTGACAACTCTAGGTGACTTGTATATTAAACAAGATATATCATCTCTATTGTTTGGAGTGTCAAAAAAATTGCAGCAAAAACATGAGTTTAGCCCTGAAAGACATTTGCCAAGAGATAAACTGCATTATTTATCAGATGGAGTGTTTAGAGATATGCATAAAGATTTGGTATAAGGGAATGAAGCTTCAAGAGACACAAACCAATCTGTAATACATTTGAAAGGTGTAGTACGCTACAGACACGTAAGCCTGAATGAGAAAGAGACACTTATAGTATTTCAATAATCTAAAAAGGAAAAGATATATGACTAACAGCCCCTAACAGTGTCTCTCCTTAACTTCACTCTAAATAAATATGAAAATGTACTAGAAAAGAGCTGGGGGTGTAGCTCAGTGGTAGACCACTTGTCTAGCATATACAAGGCCTTGGGTCAGATTCAACACTGAAAAGAAAAAAACCTACTTAACAGAAACACAAACATCAAACATTATCTAGACTGATATATAATCTATTGCTCAAACCTAGGAAGACATTAGCAACTAAGATACACAGACTCAACCCTAAACATACAGGCCTGCTTATGCTTTGCCTCATGAAAGATCTCAAGAGGAGGAATAGTTCTGCCCACCTAAACCAACTGGAAAGGACTCACAGTTTTAATCACTGGCCAAGCATCTGGGCTGTACCATCTGCAGGACTATGCACTGCCCCTCTTCTGGTTTATAGGTGCTGCCTTTCAAGAAAGACTCTGTATTCATCTTTATTTTCATATTTCAAATCCCAGGTTCAAAGCTTGAAGCTTTCAAGTAAGAGCAGGGTCAGACAGTTGAGCCCCTTGCTAGAGCCTTCTAGGAAGCACATGTTCCAGAGCACAGCTGATACAAGACGCGCGAGGAGGAGCCTGCGCAGCAGGGATACTGGAGCGAGGAGTCTGGGCAGAGGAGGGAAAGCAGTCCCCATGTCATGCCAGCCTTGTATACTGGCACTGGCTACATGCCTACCAGGTACCACGTTAGCTCAGAGAAAGCATTTCCAACAGGTGGACAGGGAGCAGAGCCTGAAGCAACCTTAATATCCCTGGCATTTCACCACCCTGGCTTTAGAGGTCGCCTAGTAAGAGCATGGATTAATAGGGAGGAAACATAATCCAGCGGGGAAAATAATATAGCACAAGGGTAACAGAAGAAAAGTCGATCTCTAAAAATAATTTACTGTGAAAACTTTAAGGCCTCCTCCACATAAAAGCTAGATGATTACAGTGTGTGGCTTTTGACTGTAACAAATATACCCTGCCGGTGGAGGATGCTGACGTGAGGCTGCGCATTGTATGCGGAGTTATCTGGGTACCTTCCTTTCAATTTGTTGTGAACCTAAAGCTGCTCTAGAAAATCAAGCCTTCAGAAAACACTACACAAAACAGCTGCAGAAAGTCATACAACTGGCCGAGATGGGATGGGGAGATAACAAGATAAAGTGAAAAGGAAAGGTGAGTTGAGAAACAAAAGCACAATAGTGAAATTAAAAATTAAAAGACTATGGAACAGAAAGTGAAGTGTAGAAAATCTTGTCAGATTGTTCTCTGCTGAGCACAAACTTGACAAGGTTTTCCAGGACAAAAAAAAATCATGGCAGAATAAGAGGTGGTACTAACTGCCGGGGAAGGAAGAAAGGCCGCCAAGTGAAGAAGTATTTCTGAGGATAACACAGGACCGATGGAACAGAGACACTAAAACTACCACAAAAGAAGGAAGGCAAGACAGTGAGATGGCAAGAAAGCAAGGAAGAGGAAGGGAAGAGAGCAGAAGGGCAGGGCAGGAGAAAAGGAGGGGAGAGAAGGGAAGACTCCACAGTGTGTTTCAGTGCTGCGTGGAGATGGAGGAAATACTGAAGGAAATGAAAATATTGTTACTTCCCTTCTAAGTATCTTCCTGAAAGAGTTAAAGACATTATATTACAGTTACACGTGCACAACCATGTTTAGAGCAGCATAGTTCTTAACAGCTAAATCTTGGATGTAGCCTGTATATCCATCAACAGATGAATGGATAAAGAAAATGTGACATTTCTATGCAATGCAGTGCTATTCTGCCATAGAAAAGGATAAATGTGTGTTATTTCTAGCAAAATGAATTGAGGCCATAAGGTGAAATCAATCAGACACACAAGCTTAAATATCACATAGTTGAGAGAGCCAACAGATCCACCTCTGCCTGCCAGCCACCACCACCAAAAGGCTTCTTCCTGCAGACAGCCAGCGGAGCAGGGACACGCAGCCAGGCAAGCCCTACCACCTGTAGGCCACCACTGGTGGCTCTTGCTTCCATAGGGCATCCATCACCCACCAGGAGTATCAGACAAACACACCCCTGTGTGCTTGCCACCATCACGCGAGTCCTAGTGTAAACACACAGACTGAGAGAAGCAGCCCCACCTTTTTGCACCCCTGGTGATTAGGGAAGCCCCAGTGTAGTTGCACAGGTCTGGAGAAGTCCTCCCCATCCCCTGCTATAAATCTGGGATCAGAGGAACTCAGGTGCCTGCCCCATCCCCTACACTGCTGAGGGGCTGCCAAAGTGGGAAGTGCTCACAACCAACTTGTTAGGAGGAACCCAGGAGAATGTCAAGATGAAGGAGCAAAGGCAATCTCAGACCTTCAGCCCACACAGAACAAGTCTGGGAGACACAGTCATGGAAGTTACACATCTGAAATCTCTGGGAGGGCAGGAACTGAAGCAAAGAAGCAACTTCATGAGATTGTAAAAGCAACCAAATCAGAAATAATGTTTCAGGTAAAAGAAGAAATCACAAACATAATGAGAGAACTGCTCAGCATATCTAAAGAAGACATAAATAGAAAAGAGGAGCACAGGAAAATGATGGAAAGCTTGAATGAATATAGAAAGGAATTACAATGCATGAAAACAGGTTCAAAGAGATATCCAGGAAATTAAAAAATCAATTGAAAGCTGGCAAAACCACTTGAGGACACTGAAGACAGACATTCAAACTTTGAAAATAGGATTGCAGCTAGCAACCATGAAAGGAAAGATCTCTTTAAAATAACAAGGAATCAAAAATTAACAATTCAACAGCTGTAAGATGATGCAAAGAAGCATAACATAAGAGTGAAGAAGCAGGGGTCAACACAAATGAATTAGAAGGTCATTTACAGAAGTAATAGCAGAAAACCTCCCAGACATGGGAAAAGGAGCTGGCATGCATATAAATGAGGCATATAGGACTCCAACTAGCTATAAACGAAGTAAATCTACACCCAGACATAGAATAATCAAGATCCCAGAAATTCAACACAAGAACAGAATATTAAAAAAGCTGTTAGAGAAAAGAAACAGATCACCTATAAAGGAAAACCAATCAGAATCATGGCAAACTTGTCAACACAAATCAAGAAGAGTTTGGAGTGAAGTGTTTCAAATCCTGAAAGAAGAAAATTTCCAACCCAGATTGATGTACCCTCTAAAACTATCTCTCAAAATTGATGGAAAAATGAGATACTTTCATGATAAAGAACAACAGAAGGAATTCATGACCACCAAACCAACCCTACAGAAAGTGCTGAAGGATATTCTAGAGAGAGATAAAGATGACCATGGTTCCAGGAACAGCAGCAGAGGAGGAAGCCAAACAAGACAGGCAGTTGAATGAAGGGGAAAAGTGGAGGGCCGATAGCATGGCAGAGACAAACCAATGTATGCTGGTTATACCATTAATGTAGATGGCCTCAATTCAGCAATAAAAAGAAACAGGAAGAATGGATCAAGAAACAAGATCCATTGGTATACTGTATATACGAAACACATTTAACTGGAAAGGAAATTCATAGACTGAAAAATCAAAGGAGAGAAAACAACTGTTCTATGTAACAGGAAACCAGAAAAAAAGCAAGGGTAACTTGCCTATCAACCGCAGAATGCATAAGAAAGATGTGGTATTTCCATGCAGTGGAAAACTATCCAGCTATAAAGTACAATAATCTTGAGGCTCTTATAGGTAAATGGATGCCACTGGAGATCATGTTCATGGGTGAAACAGTTTGAACTCATACACATGAACCCTCGTATAAACAACAGAAAGAATTAATGGGATCCAAAAAGCATTAACAAACATTGTAAAAGTGATAGGGGAGGATACACCTAGGAGTGGAAGGTAGTAACTACTATTAATTTCTTATTGTCTTGTCTTGAACTCTTGTATTCTTTTCACAATTTTGTTAGGTTTGGCCTTGTTCTGCCTTATTTTGTTAGATTTTACTTTGACGGTATGGACAGCTATTTTGAACATAATGGTATGGTAATCATGGTTGGTTTCCTATTATCTTGTTTGGAAGTCTTATGCTCTCATTTGTTTGTTTAATTAGTTTTATTCTGTTTTGGTTTGTTTGATTTTATTACATTTGATGGTATGAACAGCAGTTTTGAAAAAAATGAGACATTATGGCAGCCATTGCTGATTTCCTATCATCTTGTTTTAAAGTCCTATAATGCTTTTATTCTTTTGTTTTGATGGGTTCTATTGTGTTTCATTTCATTTTATTATGTGATAGTATGGACAATTATTTTGAAGAAAATGTGGTATTATGGTAGCTATTGTTCATTTCCTGTTATCTGGTTTTGAAGTTCTGTAATGCTTTCATTATTTTCATTGGTTTTATATTGTTTTGTTATGTTTGATATTCTTGTGTGTGAAAGTATAGGCAACTATTTCAAAGAAAATAAGAGACATTATGGTAGCCACTGTTGATATCCTGTTGTCTTGTTTTGAATTCCTGTGTTGCTTGCATTGTTTTGTTCTGACTTACTTTATTCTGTTTTTTTCTTTAAAATTAAAAAAAACTTTTAAAAAAATCATATAGTTTCTCTTGTATGAGATACCCAAAATACAAAAAGCAAAATAAAAGACAGGTAACAAGAAATAGAGAGATTTTTTTGCAAAAGGGAAGGAGTTCAAGAAACAGAAGGGAAGAGGCAAGGAGGGGAAGGGAAAGGGATGGAAATAATTGAAATGTGTTATGTATGTGCCAAATCCTCATGAGGAATGTAGTCATTATTTACTGCAAACATATACTAATAAAAACAAATAAGTAAATATAGAAAATAATCATTAAGCTAAAACCATGTACATAGTTTACAATAATTATATATATCCACTATGAATTAACCTACACAGAACAAATTCCAGAAAAGGTACAATCTAATGTTAACAGGGATTACTATAAGTAACGAGTGCAACAGAAAGGTGAATTCTCCCATTTTAGAAATGAAGGCTACACAATAACCTCTGAGAGGTAAACTCTAAAGTGAACATTATGGATCCGTATATGGACACAAAAAGTCACCTGAAAGACACATGGTAAAAAGACCTAAGTTAATAATACCGATAAAAATGAAAAAGACAAAAAAAAAAAAAGACCTAAGTTAGATCCCAGGCCAGCTATAATGGACTACAGCCTGTGTGTATAATCAACTACATCTATAAAAGATTACTACTAATGTTGCTGAACCCAGAAAGAACAGAACAAAACAAAGCTAGAAAGATACAGTGAAGATTAGCATGGCCCTTGTACAAGGATGACATACAAATTCATGAAGCATGCCACATTTTTATACTTAAAAAAAAGAATTAAATGCTTTCTCCAGCATTATGTGAGGAAGTCAGGAAAAGAATTTGAGGGTTTTGACCTTAAAGGTTAGAGGAAAGAGCATTCTTTGTGCGGCAGTGGCTAAGGGCAAAATCATTTCTGTCAGAGCCTTGCACCAGCAAATACTTACCTCACATTTTACTTATTCAAGTCCTCTTATTTTGATTCCTTGGTCATGAAATAACCTCCTGATTGTGATTGTGTCCCCTGTGTAATTATGCCCAAAGGGAAACAATGCGCTGATTATAGCAACTACAGACTCTGTTCATAAGATGGCAACTCCTTGTTATGAATTAATAAGTGGGGTTACTAGACAAAATAATAATGCTAGGTCAAAGGCTTTTCAGTTTTGGGGTGTTAGAGAATCTCTTTAAGCATACCAGTTGGAATCAGAGAAAGAAGTTTAAATCTTGGTTCTGTATTGTCGGACCTCAAGTATTAAAAATAGCGTATGCGTCAAATCAGCACAGTATTTGACAGAGTAGGTACCCAATAAGTATTTGTTGAATAAACAAAATGAAGACACATAATCAACAAGTGGTTCTTATTTAAATCTTGGATTTTTTTTTTTTTTTTTTTGTATTTTTACCGGTACCAGGGATCGAACTCACGACCACAGGCTTGCAAGGCAGGCGCTTATGCTGCTGAGTTACATCCCCAGCCCCGGAAGTCTTGGAATTTAAATGAGCTCATTTCATGTATGTCTTTCTCCAAAAGATAGACCTTATCTTAGACTACTAAGCAAAAATCATGATTCAGGGCTCATCAACCTTAAAGATCATACCCTTAAAGACTTTATAAGATCTCTAGGTAATCTCTAGGTAATAAGAAGCTTTTGGAAAAAAAAAAAAAAAAAAAAAAAGACTGGCAAGCTTGTTTGTATTTTTCTGGTTTTCATACTCTGATATATCCAAATGGGAACTGAGTCAAAGATCTAATTTTTAAAGAGGTATCTCTGAATGGCGGGATTGGGAGTTACTATTTTCCTTCTATGGTTTTCAAAATTTTGTAAAATGCTATTACACAAAAGAAAAGTTGCTCTTTTGATTAATTTTTTTAAAAAAACCACCACAAAAAATTGAGCAAAAAAAAAAAAAAACAGACACAGAAAAGAAAAGGGGCCAGAGACTTAGCTCAGTGGCATAGCACCTGCCTGGCAAGCACAAGGTCTTGAGTTTGATTCCTGGTACCAACAGAAAAAGAAAAAGAAAAAGAAAAAAAGATATGACTAAACAGGAAATAAGCAATGGCACTAAAGTGCCTTTTGATCAGGTGCTGTAGATTTGCTAAAAATATAAAGGAATTTGTTCTTACATTCTCTATCAGCCTTCTTTAAAAAAATCTACATTCACGTATGAGGTTCATAGACTCTTTAAGATAAAAAAACAAAGTAAAGGTCCTGAAGAAAGCCATTCTTGTTAGTGACCATGAGAGCAATTCTTCCCATCAATGTTCAGTTCTTTGAACATCTTTCGGGAAGCCCCTGGCATGAGGCCAGAACAAAAGGACTAAAATGCATACTCCAGACCAATTCAAGAGGCTGTTGTTTCTGAGTTACAGAAACTAAAGAAAGTAAAAGCCTCCTTAAAGTTAATTCCTCTATGAAGTAGTCACACAGCACAGTGAAAACTGTTAGGTGTACTTAGATGCGATGTACTTTTCCTCAAAATAAAATGACCTATCAATGTGAAATGCCTAAAGACAGTGTGTTAAGAAAAATAAAACTTGAATCGACAATTATTTTTTTAAAAAACCAAAATATCAGTTAAGTATTATGGTGCATATTAGTAATTTTAGCACTTGGAAGACTGAGGCAAAAGGGCTGAAAATTCAAGGCCAGCCCAGGCTACAAAACAAGAACCTAAGCCACGACTACATTAAGAACTTTTTACTGGTAGACAAATAATCTTTGTTTTTTGTTCTTGTTTTGTTTTGTTTTTGCTAGAACTGAGAAGTCACATAACTTGTGACTCTGTAATTTAGTTAAATTACAAAATGGTTTAGAAGCAGAAGTAGAAATGTGACTGTCATGTGATCAACTTTATGTTTTGGGAGAAATATATAAGTTATGATCTGTATTTTCTTACATAAAATATGGCTTACTACCTGGCATGCCTATAATCTCAGCACTCATGAGGCTGAGGCAGAAGGATCACTACCAGTTCGAGGGCAGCCTGGGCTACAAGGTGAGTTCAAGGCAAACTTGAGCTGCACAGAGAAGCCCTGTCTCAAAACAAAGAAAAAAAAGTGTGTGCATATGTGTGTGTGTGTGTATTTTACATCTTACCCTGTGATTCCCTTTTCTTCATCTCTGCATCTGGATGTTCATCTAAGAAGAAATCTGGTATCAAAGGATGGCCTGAAAAATTGACCCCAAAATAATCAGGTTAACAAAAAAGCAGTAATACACTAAGATTTTAATATCTGTTAAATAAACACTATGTGTGTTCTTAAAAACATAGTGTTTATTTAACAGATATTAAAATCTTAGAACAATGGAAAAGGTCCCCAGAACTGTCAAGCTGCTTATTAAATTAATTTCCCTGTGACTCAGTTAACCTCTTCTCCTATGACAAACTTCATCTTCAAAATTTAATTTTTAAAAATCATCTGTTATAAACTAGCTGAGAAGCACACACCTATAATCCCAGCACTCTGGCAATCTGTGGAAAGAGGACTGCAAATCGGAGCCCAGCCTTGGCTTCCTTTCGGCTAACAGCTATGGCTAAAAAAACTAATTACCTTTCACAAGATAAGCCAGCCTCTTGCCACTGAGTTACATTTCCAGCATTTTTTTTTTTTAAAACACAAGATCTTGCTAAATTGCCCAAGGTGATCTCAAATTTATAATTTTTATACTTCAGGCTCCCAAGTGGTGGGATTACAGACCCTGCGTGATGCTACTTAATTAATTAACCAGCTAGTTAATTACCTTACCATGACACTGATACCTTTAAGACACACGTATGTTGGGAGATCTGAAGGCCACAAAACCTCCAAAACTGGCATAAAATCTCTTTAAAGGTTAAACAAACTTCTGGAGGGCAGCAATAAATCGATACTTGTTATAGCCTTGTATCACAGTACTTGGATCATATTAAGTCTTCCATACTAAGAATGACTGTTAAATACATCACATTTTAAATTTTCTGTATAATGATTTAGTGGCCCCAAAACCTAAAGCAATGATTACAGTGTACCAAGGCCCCAGAAGAACTGAGTCTGGTTTTGGTTCTGCCATTTATTAGCCATCTGCTCTTAGACAAAGGCTTTTATCTCGCTGGACCTATTTTTCCACTTGCAATGTTAACTGATAAATATTGTGTGCACACTGTGTGTTTGAGTACCATCCAAACACATTGTATAGGTTTTCACACACGGTTCTAACAGAAATCCTATGTGGAAATTAACGTTCCCTTAATTTTACAATTAGGAAATTGGGGCTCATAGTCACAGGCATGAGCAACAGAGCTGAAATTGAACCTGACTTGTTTTCTACCCCATTCCATGTTCTTAATCACTTAAGACGGTATTACTTACCTTATAGGACTGCTACAAAGATTAAATAATCTTTAGTACAACAATGTAATTGCCATTTGTGGCTATAATACCTGTTGTTTAGGATGCACTGTATTTTACTTATTAATTCATTTATTTACTCTTAATTTTTATTTTTAGGGACAAGGTCTCACTATACAGTCCAGGCAGGGCCCCGATTTCCTGGGCTCAAGCTATCTTTCTTACTTAGCCTTCTGAGTGCCATGACTAGGGTTACAAGCTACTTGGCTAATACCTAGCTAAGAATACATGATACTTTTTATATGAAGTACAAATCTATATCATCATCATCCTCTGCAATTTCAGAGGAAGTTATTTTGACCAGGGGCATTTTCTAGAAACTTCTCAAGTCATACTACAGAAGACAGGTCTTGCTCATGCATTTTAATCATGTCATCAAACTAAGAGACTACACTCAAGGATGAACAACTGGAATGAAGCTATAATCTTAAAGTTTTTTGTAAATAGCCTACTATTGTATCATTATATCTAAATAAATAAAATCATTGCTTTGATTTTTAAAAGCTCAATTTTAAAAACCAATTTTCATTTCTGGCTCCAAAATTTGGAAATGGCTAATGACAGATGATCTCCAACTGTATACCACTTCAAAAGCTCTCAGCTTGGGGCTGAGGATTTAGCTCAGTGGCATAAGCACCTGCCAATTCCCGGTACCAATTTAAAAAAAAAAAAAAGCACTCAACTTTTGTTTGTTCTTTCTCTCTTAAATAGTGTTGATATGGAGCCAGGGATGGTGGCACATGCCTGTAATCCCAGCACCACGGGGGCTGAGCCAAAACTATCACCACAAGTTAGAGGCCAGCCTGAGCTACATAGTGAATTCAAGGCCAGGCTGAATTGCACAGCAAGACTCTGTCCAAAAAAAAAAGTTAATCTGAACTCTATAGCAAGACCCTGTCTCAAAAAACAAAGCTAGTGTTGGTGTATGGTTTTCCCTTCAATGGAAAGATGGTTTTTACTTTTTTTTTTTGTACCAGGGATCGAACTCATGTTCATGTGCTTTCTAGGCAGGTGCTTATACCATTGAGCTAAATCCCCAGCCATGGAAAGATGGTTTTTAAAGAACATATTCCTTTTATAATCATACAAACACACAGACATAGTCAATGAAGAAAATGTAGGAAAATACATCACTACTTTCAAACACAGTAAGCTTTACCTGGTTTAACTGCATAGACATCAAAATTTTTTATTCCTTCTTCTTTTAAGATAATTTCATCAATAACAAAGTTGCCAGTAAAGCTTTTGGGCTTTTTAAAAATGGAATATGCAGCATCTGCAATTATCTCCGCTTTTCTACATTGGCTTTCAACACCTGATCCTCCCAGCATGTCCATAGCAGCAGTGTGTATGGCTGTAGAGAAAACACACACACACACAACCCCAAATTAAACAAGATGACTATAGAGGTAACAAGCAAGTCTTACTCTTCAATTTCCAGATGATGAAAACAAAGTCCACAAAGCTTACAGGGTTTACTAAATGTTCTACAGGGAGAATTCCCTTACTCTATGTAATGCTGCCTTATACATAATTCCTTCATGAGAATCCCAGCAAAACTAAGACTTCTGATTTAGAATGTTCAAGAGTACAGACAGTGTTCTTAAGAGTCAAGAAAGCCAGTATGGTATAATGAAAAAGGCAGTGAATTAAAAAGCAATAGAGTGGGATTTTTGTATCAGCCATACCATGACTTCTAGTAAGCCACTTTAACATCTTCAGACCTCAGTTTCCTATCTTTAAAATGTAGGGCTTCCTTTCTCAAGTTTATTGTACCTTGTTCCCCTGTATTAGAAAACAGAGACCATTTTTCTTGTTCATCACTGTATTCCCAGCATCTAAAACGAACAAGGCATCATAATCATGCAATAAATAAGGAAAGGGCATTTTTAAATTCAGTAACACTGGTTTGTAGAAAGTACTAGAAAATATGAATTAAAGGAAAAATTTAGCTGATTTTTGTACCAGGAATTGAACCCTCAGTCCAAAAGGGAAAATTTTTAAATTATTATTCTTTGATCCAGAGATAAAACAATGCAAATATTTGCAAACAATTCTCATCATTTTAGGTGCACTTTTTTGAGGTGGGTTCTTGCAGTGTTGCCCAGGCTGGCTCCATACCTTCTGGGCTCAAGCAGTCTTCTTGTCTCAGACGCCTTAGTAGCTGGGCTTTTAGGCTCATGCCACTGGCAAGGTATAGACACATTTTAAATTGTTTCTCATATGAAATAACTTGAAACTGCATGATCAATGGAACATTAATTATACACTGTCAAACTAATATCTCAATTTATTAATAAAGCATCAAAATCCTTTTATTACAATGCACTTTAGGTTTCAGTTTCTAGTAATTGCAATAAAATTACTCTTTATCCCATTTTTAACAAATCATTTAAAATTGGTACAGCCTAGAATATTTGTAGCTTTCAAAAAACATTTGTAGCTTTTAAGACCTATTGGCCCTTTTTTATCCTACAAAATTACTGAGCACTTACCATAAGCCAGGCACTAGAACACATATTGGGGGCAAAGCAGTAGACAAAACAGACCTAAATCCTTTACCTTCATGGAATTTACATCTATTTCAAGGAATGCCCAACTAACTTCAGGAATTTCTTAAAAGCACTCAGTTATTTTATCATACAACTAAAATTCCTTACTAATAATTAATCTTTTTACTTAACCAACAGTCTAAGAAGTAATCATTCTTGAAGTGATACCTTATTAATAAAAAAGAGGGGCTAACATTCATTAAGTGTACTTTGTGCAGGGCAGGTTGTTACACCCTTCACATGCATTATCTGAATTAATTCTGAAAACCCATGAAGTAGGTACTGTTATTTTCATTTTGCAGACAGAAGTATTCAGGCACAGAAATAAGTGTTAGATACTTGTCCAAGACCACACGTGCTGGAATTCAGATACCCAGCAGTCTGATAGATTCAGGTTTTCATCTACCATGCAATAATGGTTCACACATCATTTACCAACATTCTTGGAGTTCAGTTATTGTATCACTGCCATAAACTATACCACTTTTTCTGTAAATATTTCAAGACAGTCCACTTTGAGATGATATGCGTAAGTGTATACACTCTTAGTCTAACTGTGGTGTGGTGATCCTTAACAACTCTAAATTAGAGGTCTAAAGAGTATAATGTCACAAGGCATACAGTGGTGGATACCTGTAATCTCTGTTACCTGGGAGGCTGAGACAGGAAGACTCCAAGTTTGAGGACAGTCTTAGCAACTCAGTGAGATGTTCTCTCAAAATAAAATTTTTCAAAAGGGCTGGATGTATCTTGATGGTAGAGCATTTGCCTAGCATATCTGAGGCCCTTCATTTAATCCCCATCACAGGAAAGAGGGAGAGAAGGAGGGATTCACATACACATAAATACATGCTGCATGTGTGTGTATGTGTAGAATATTAGAACAAAAAAATGGTTCCTCAGACAATCTATTATTACTTTTAGAGTCTTTCTAAGTAAGACACAAAGAATATACAAATAGATGTTCAAAATTAAGAGATGAGCCATAGAGATATGCTCAAAACCTCAAGATTTTGCAATGCCAACAGGCTAGTCAGATTATAAAAACTGCTATATTTTTCTAGGGAAAAAAATGCATAAGATTTGTCATGAACAGAACACAGAAGGCTTGGACCATAAGTATCACAAAAGTGATCTTAAATTTGGGTCTTAGTAAGGAATAATTGGGAAGACATCTAAGAGTTTGCAACCTTCCTGATTAGAAGTTACTCAAAACATTTTTTTTTTTTCCTTTTTGAGACAGGGTCTTGCTCTGTAGACCTTTAACTCACTATGTTGCCCAGGCTGATCCTGAATTCACAGCGATCCTCCTGTCTCAGCTCCTCAACTCTTGGGATTATAGGGGTATGCTACCACACTCAGCCAATAAGAGTCTTAAAACCAATCAAAGATTTCCTTCTATTAGCACAGGATGTGCACTTCAGGCTTAAGACATCAGCCTGACTTCAACACCTCCCAGCCCCTACTAAGCACTCACTGAACCAGTAACAGTCCTGATTATAAAGTATATTGTTACTTAATGTACCACCACGGAAACAAGAGCTGCCAGCTAAACTACAACACATCATTAACCAGGAGATGCACAGTGACATTAGAGATGTAAAGCATTTAAATGTAAGAGTTGTAAAAATGTAAAACATGGGCATCTCACAATCAATGAAATAAGGTATACACTGCTGTTTAACCTAAACAGTGACTGCGTCCCTTGAAAAACAAGGCACTTTGTTTTGATTTTCGGCCCAAGAGAGGAGGGAGGCCAGCTGCCATCCTGCCTCCTCATTTTTCTAGGTAAACCTAGTTCTCACATTTATTTCTAATGTAGCCCAGGTGTCCAAAGATGGCAGAGAACTGTGATACTCTCATGACTTTTCCCTCTGCTGCCATTACCAAATCAGCAGCTGCCCTTCCCAAATTCCACACCTCAGCCCACATAAACTCCACCCTCAAGTGGTCCTTCCTGTTTCTGCCACACACTTTACTTCCAGGCCAGTGAAGAGAGACGAAAGGGGCAGCCAATGTTCTGAGTGACAGCCATCATTTCTACCCTGCCCTGAACTGCAGCGGAAATGATGAAATGGGTCTTATGGTAGAAAACATATATTACATGGCATCTATTCTGTTAAATTCAGTGACTCTCCTTTTCCTTGAAAGGCACTCATATTGGGAGATTAGTTCTAGCTCCAGCTAACATAGTCTTCTATACAGTCCAGGAGGAGGAAATGCTTGTTTTCAAAAATAGAAACCTCACCAACAGCCCAGTGCTTGGATACGCCCTCAAATCCATTTTCACTCTTCCATTTTCACTGTCTCCCTCATGAATAATGAAATAAGTTAGCTAGCTTCTCTGTCTCTCCTCTCTCCAATCTTATAGACCATCTAACAGTCAACGCCAGATTAAATATCCTAAACCTCATCAACAATCATATCACTTTATTGGTCCTATTTGTTCCTCTGTTTGATATTACTCTTTAGCTTTTAAAATTCTTTAAGGGGTTCTTCCCTAACTATAGGTTAAAATTCAGCCCCCTAGAGCAAGGATGCAGCTTCGCGGTAGAATGCCTAAATTCCATCCCAGCATACCAGAAGAAACTCAACAGCTGAAAGTTAGAAAACAAGACCTGAGGCCTAGCTGAGTGTGACAGTGCATGCCTGGAAGCCCATCCCTGTAGCAGAGTCAGGCGGAAGGATCACAAATCTGAGCTCTGCCTGGGCAACTCAGCAAGACCCTGTCACAAAACAAAATAATAAAAAGAGACAGGAGACGTAGCTTAATGCAAAAGCCCTGGTTTCAATTCTCACATAACAAGAAAAGAGAAAAAAAGAAGAAAAACAAAAAAAGAAGAACATAAAGTGTAGCTCCTTCATCTCCTCCTGTCCACCCAACATTCCAGTAAACCTGAACTACTAGACTTGCTTAAATTCAACGCAAAACAACAGCACCGCCATCATATCATATCTAAATGTCGTCAAACTCAGGAATTTCAACAAATGCACATATAGGAGTGTCTGTGCTGCACCCTTTTGTGTATTGTCCCCTCTGCCAAGGAATGTTCCAGATTTTCTTCTTGATAACTCCAAAACTCCCTTGAGATCTTATTTCATTTGCATGCCTTCTTTTGAAAATCTCCTTTGCTAAGCCTGAAACCTGAGCTACCTGGCCCTCTTGCTATGTTTCAAAAGCATCCTGTATGTAATTTACCATCTTATGCACCACAAGGAATATGACTGTAAATTCAATTTATTTTGTCATAAGTTTAGGACTAAATCATATCACTGGTTCCAAGATATCTAGTAAACCTTCCAAAGTGAACCTCTCAAAGCTAAAGCAAAGACCTACACAGTAAGTTGATTTCTCCTGACAATCTTGATGGCATCTTCTGTATTCCTTGCCACATAGTGTTCCCCTTAATATAAGCTTTGTTCAGAATACTCATTTCAGAGTTGGACAGAAGATAATCCTACAGCACACTCATTCACTCATTCTCCCATTCCTTTATTCATTCATCAAATCTGAATTGAGTATTTACAATGACAATAATAAAATGAACAAAGAAGACATTGCCCCTATCCTCAAGAAGTTTTTGTTCTATCAAGGAGTAATAAACATCCATAACTATAAATTAATACTTTAACCACATAGTGAAACCCTGTCTCAAAAAAAAAGTATACAAAATAAAAATAAAATGTTAAGTGATGTATATGAGGTGTAGGACTATTAAACCATTGCCAAACCCCTATCTTATAAGAACTATTAGCATTTGACACATTCGATTACTCCTCTTCCTCCTTGAAACACTTTCTT